ACATTTTATAAGTGATAGAAAGTGGGGTGGAGACTGGCTTATAGTCTTGCATGTTAAAACGGAGCAATACTTTGTGAAGATGATTTTTTTAAGAAAGCCAAATCCTTCTGTCTCGGTGAATTTGCATCCCTAAAATCTTGTTTGCTGGTCCTAATTCCTTCATATCAAACTCCATAGCCAATTGTGCTTCAATTCTTGGACTCGATCTTTGTTGGGGCCTACCACCAGCATGTCATCCACATACAATAGCAAAATGATAAAATCATCATTATCATCAAACCTTTTATAATACGTACAATGTCTGAACTTAATATGTTATATCCAAAGCTCATGATGAAGGAATCAAACCTCTTGTACCAACACCTTGGCGTCTGTTTTAAACCGTATAGAGATTTAGTCAACCTACAAACCAAGTTTTCTTTACCTTGTTCTTTAAAGCCTTCGAGTTGGAGCATATGTATTTCCTCTTCAAGTTCTCCATGAATAAACACAGTCTTTACATTAAGCTACTCTAGATTTAGATCAAATGCAACACACATCGCCAAGACCACTCTTATTATGGTGAGTCTTACCACTGAATAAAATATCCCATTGAAACCAATACTTTCTTTCTGAGCATATCCTTTGACCACCAGTCTTGCACGATATCGTTCCACCTGATCGTTTCCATCTCGCTTAATGTTGAACACCCATTTGTTGCCGATGCTTTCCGACCTTTAGGAAGTTCAACAAGTTCCCATGTGTTATTTCTATGTAAGGCTTCAATTTCCTCTTGCATTGCTTCCATCCACAGAGAAGCATCTGAACCATTTAATGCCTCATGAAAGGTTGATGATTCTCCATCTTCTGATAGAAGATAATATGCATCATGACTTGCCATTATATATTCTGTGTGCCAGGATGGTTTTCTTATCTGATGTGTGGTTCTTCTAGGATCTACATTATTGACCTCAGTTGGTTCTTGTTCTTCGTGCTCTCGCTCTGCTTCAGAAGAATCATTTTCTCCTGACTTTTCCTCTATCTCTACCGTAGTAGTCTCTTTTATAGTGTTGTCATCTTTTTGCTCCTTTTGTAGTTCATTTTCTACAAAGATTACATCTCTGCTAAAAATAATCATGTGGGCAGCGGAATCCTACAGACGATACCCCTTCACATTGTCAGTGTAACCTAAGAATATGCATTTCCTAGATTTTGGGTCCAACTTTGTTCTTTCTTGGGAGTTTTACATCATGTACGCAAGACACCCAAATACATGCAAAAAAGAATAATCACCCGATTTTCCCTTCCACGTCTCCATTGGTGTTTTTAAATCAATCGCAGTTGATGGCGATCGATTTATCACCTAACAGGCAGTTTTGACAGCTTCTGCACAAAAAGACTTTGCCATTCCTATTGTTTTCAACATATCTCTCGTCCTCTCCAAGAGAGTTCTATTTATTCGTTCTGCTACACCATTCTGCTGAGGTGTATGAGCAAGAGTAAACTACCGTTTAATACCTTCTTGCTTGCAGAATGTCAGAAAATCACCATCTGTATATTCTCCTCCATTATCTGTCCTCAAGCACTTAATTTTTTTCCTAGTTTCAAGTTCCACTTGTGCTTTGAACTCCTTTAATACTAAATACACATCTAACTTCTTCTTGATTGGGTACACCCATAGTCTCCTGGAGTAACCATCAATGAATGATACAAAATATTTTTCTCCTCCAATGGACATTTATGGTAACTCCCACACATCAGAATGAATTAAGTCTAATATGTGTTTGCTTCTATCAGTTAACTTAGAAAACTTTAGTTTATGCTACCTGCTTATCACACAGTACTCGCAGAAAGGTAAATTTACCGACTTGAGCCCGGGTATGAGATTACATTCTGCAAGAACTTTCAAGCCTCGTTCTGACATATGGCTTAATCTGTGATGCCATATCATCGTTTTTTCTTCCTAGCTTTCAGCTGCTACTAATGCATCTGCTTCTTTCATCTTGTCTCCCAAAAGAATGTATAGATTTGCAGTTACCTTCTCCGCTTTCATCACTACTAGCGAACCTTTCACCATTTTCAAGATCCCACCTTGAACATGCGTCTTGCATCCGAGATCATCTAGTTGCCCAATAAACAACAAATTCTTTGTCAATCCTTTCACGTGTCGTACCCCTTAAAGTGTGCGGATAGTACCATCATACTTTTTCATTTTGATAGTACTAAATCTAGCAATTTCCAAAGCATGATCATTTCCCATCAATACATGTCCTTCTGAGATAGGTTCGTAAGTGTAAAACTAGTATTATCATGGAGTCATGTGCCATGTTTCTCCTGAATCTACTATCCAACCATCAGTGAGTTGAATTTCGCCTTTGGTACTAACTGTTGCTCCGCTATAAAGGATTTCTCCATCATCGGAGGTACTAGCAATACATCCTTGAGATGTACTTGCTTCAAAAGACTTCTCATTATTCTTCTTGTTGAACCAACATTCTTTCTTCAAGTGCCCTCTCTTGCCACAATTGTAGCATTTGAGGTTTGTTCTTCTTTGAGATTTTGATCTACCATAATTTTGACTCCCAGTGGGACTAGGTTTCGTTGATCTACCTCTCGTATTCGTCAAAGCTTCTATTCGTTTTGATCTTTCTTGTCGATCTTCCTTATTTTTACGCTTGGATTCTTCTTCAAGAAGAGCTCTGGCGACATCATTAAAGGATCGACGGTCAACAATATTATTATTTGTAATATTGATGACGAGTTGATCATACGAATCTAGTAAACTCTGAAGAAGAAGCTATGCTCGTTCATTTTCCACTATTGTGAAATCTGATGCAGATAGTTGAGAAATAATGTATTCGAATTGTTGATGTGATTCGACACCAAAATGGATTCACTCATTTGAAGAGTGTAGAGTCTTCTCTTTAAGAAAATTATGTTGTGAAGTGACTTGACCTCATATAGTTGGATGAGAGTATCCCAGATCTCCTTTGCAGTTTTCTTTTCTACTATACTTGACAAAACTGAATCTTCCATTGCTAAGTGCAAAACGGCAACAACATTATCATTCATCTCTCTGCACTTTTCATCAGTTGTATTTGTAGGTCTACCTTTAATTGCTGGTGAGCAATTATCCTTCATCGGGATTGCTTGCATCTTCAATTTCCATAGGGAGAAATTACCCCCCCTAAAATTTTCAATCTCAAATTCTGCAGCCACTTTTTTCTCATCGAACTGGTTTTCACAATTTCACCGTGAATAGCACAATATACGTGAGCAGTATTGTATATTTTTACCGTACACTAGAATAGATATAGTATACATTAACAATCTTTGCAAAAGTATACAACCACACGTGTGAATCGTAATCGTACACCGCAGCGGAAATAGAGACCGACACTAACTGCTCTGATACCATTGTTGGGTATCAAAGTAGCAAGATAAATATCACAAAATTAAGAGATCAAGGAGTAAGAAAATTGACACAAAATATTTACGTGGAAAACCCTCAACAAATAAGGGAAAAATCACGGGTACTGGTAGAAAACATTTTCACTAAGTGGAAGAAATTACAACACTTCTCTCTATATACAAGAAGAGAACAAATTACACTCTCGCTTGTAATAGGAGAACACTCACTAAAATAACCTTATAGGAGAAAATACAATATATTCTATCTCTCTAAATCTTTCTTTTATGTTATGTTACAATGTTTTGTGTTATTGTTTTAGGAATGAGAAGTACACCTCTATTTATAGGTGCTCATCTTCATAAAAACCATGGGAGTTGTTACAAAATCATTGGTGCAAAACCATGAGCGTTTCTTTCTTGATCCACAAATTGTGAGTTTATTCAACCACAACCTTTGACCATAATCTTTTACCATGACTACAATATTTGACTATGACCATAATTTTTGACAGAAGTTTTGTGTAGCAGGTAGAATCTTATGAGATAAATGTTTCTAGGAAATGAAGAAAGACCATTTTTGGGGTAGATGTGGGGCAATAAAACAAGGCTAGGTCATCTATACATATAAAAATGTTAATTTGAGAGAGAGAAAGAGATATATATTTTAGATAAAAACACAAATTAAATAATTAAACTCGAAAATGAAGAAATCAAGGTAAGGAAGCCGCAAACAAGTCGTGATAGGGTTCTTGAGGGTTTGGGGAAACAAAAAATGAAATTATTTAAATTAATAAGGATAAACAAAAAAGAATTAAAATATGTTTAATTAAAAACATATGCTTAGAATGTTGTATGTGGATTGTAATTTTGTCGTAGTTCAAGTTAGTTAAAATATAGTTATGTTGGTTGAGTTACTTGTACGACAAGTAATTAAGTGTCTATTGTTTATTTTGAGAAGTTAGTTGTTAATAGTTATGTTAGTTAGAATAAATGATTAAAATTAACTTTTTTTATTTATCATTCTACTCTCTTCCATTTGTCTCACATTTTTTCTCAGTTGTTTCTTTAGTCTGTTACAAGTGTTCTATCATTGACCAATAATTACCATATCAAAACATTTTAAAGATTATGATTCATAGACTTTTATACATGTTCAATAGTCTCGATATATATATATATATATATATATATATATATATATATATATATATATATATATATATATATATATATATATATATATATATATATATATATATATATATATATATATATATATATATATATATATATATATATATATATATATATATATATATATATATATATATATATATATATATATATATATATATATATATATATATATATATAATTTTATTGTATTAAAAGAGTGAGTAAGAAGTTATTTTACAAACTTTGAATACATTTATTGGCAATTCTTTTTATTTCACAGAGATCTACATGTGCGTAAGTTTCATTTCATTTTTTTGTAATCCTAACTTCAACAACAATGATAAAAAAAAAAATCATACCCCGTTAAATGGGTCGAAAAATCCTAAGTTCATAAAAAAAAAGCATTTTCTTTGAATCATGTATAGTATATATGTCTAAGATTTAACAAGGAAATTCTTGAACCATTCGGCAGAAAGTTTTGGGTGTCTTTTTTGACCATTTTTAAAATCAACGAAGACGAGTCCATATCTCAAGCTCAAGCCAGATTCCCATTCAAAGTTATCCAACAATGACCATGCAAAATATCCCTTTACATTCACGCCATCCCTGTCATACATTAAGGTCAATAAAACAAAAGAGTTAACTCCAAAAAAATGTTCCCACAATAACTAGAGGCTTAAACGTTCTTTCGATAAAATATAACTTACCTTATTGCACTTTCAAGATAATAAAGATGACGATAGTAGTAATCAATCCTATAAGTATCTAAGAGAGATTCTTCAAGAGATAATGTTGGATCGTTGAACTCGTCACGGCCTATAATTTTTTTTTGACATACTTTCGTTAGCTTTGTTAATATTACAATATTACACATATAATATGTATTATAAAAAAAATAAGTATTACCATTTTCAGTAATGTAAATTACAGGGTCCTTGTATGTTTTCTTGGTGTAAAGCAAAAGATTGTGAAATCCTTTTGGATAAATACATAACCAACTGGAAGCAGCCTGCATAAAATTGTAAAGTTATCTTTATATATCAGAAAGAATCTTTTCTAATACAAAAGTTACAAATGAAAATCATTGATATATTAGTTATCTTCCAATGAAATGATGAAATACATACCATTGGACCAAGAGGCTTGCCATTATGTTCAACTGTCATTAAGAAATAATAAACCATGCTTAGATAAAAAATTTAGAGTATGTAAAGTTACATTTATTTTAATTATGTTTGGAAATTCATTGAAACTTACATGTAGCATTAATAAGAGAATCAGTTAGTATGGCTGGTTGTGCAGCATTGCGGAGGTGAGGTGCATCAGCAGCATAGTAGGATGAATAATAATTTAGGCCTAGAAAATCAAAGGACCCCTTAAGTTCCCTTGATTCTTCTTTTGAGAATTTTGGTAACCTTTTTCCCACCAAAGTTCTCATGCTTTTTGGATATTTTCCTCTTGTAAGCGGATTCATATACCTATAGCAAAATGCAGATGCAATCAAATTTATGAAATACTCTGGATTCCTTTTACTTCGCATATTTAAGCAAATCATATATATAATTATATTTCTTTTAGATTCAAAACACAAAGTGAATCAAAATTAACTAATAGTTGATTTAATATTTACCATCCAAACATGAAGTCGAGACCTCGTTTTGAAGCATCAACATCTGCCTTCGCTGTAGTGGCCGGCTCGTACCAGTGTGAGACTAAGGTAATCCCTATTATACCTTGTTGAGATGACTGCAATTTGGTTATTTTGTTAGTATAACATTTCCAATAAGTTCAGACTTAAAAAACATGATCTACCAGTAGAAAGTAATTATCTCTTAATAATTGAGGACCTTATATTTGATCTGGTACAAATTTGCAGCAGCAGAATGAGCAAGAAGCTGGTAGTGTGCAGTCAAATATGGTTCTGTCCCTGAATCACCTCCTGTGCAGTTCAGTTTTAACCAATCTGAACATCGACCCGGTGCGAACTTTCCATATGCATAAGCGTTCATGCTCACACTCCATGGTTCATTTATTGTAATCCAATGTTTCACCCTATCACCAAATTCCTTGAAGCAAAGTTCAGCATAGTCCCTAAAATCATCTCTGCAAGATTGCGAATTACATATGTTAATCAATAAACTATAGTCGTAAAAAAATAGTCCTAAACGAAAAATTGGTGTCACTCACACAATGCGACGGCTTAAAAAACCTCCATACTCATCCTCTAAAGCTTGGGGAACATCCCAATGAAAAATTGTGACATATGGTTTTAAACCTGCATTATTCTCAATGATTAATAACCACATGCATATAATTCAAACACAATATGAAATAAACATCGACGAATCTTTACCCTTAGCCAATAATTCGTTGATGAGATTGTTGTAATATTTTATTCCTTCTTGATTTACTCCTCCACTAAGCTTTCCATCTATAAATAATTAATCAGAAATTTTGATTAAATACTATAAATCACCAATCTATAAAGAAAAATATTTAAGAAAAAAATGACATACTTGGTAGCACTCTAGACCAAGAAATCGAGAATCTATAAGCATCCATATTCAAATCCTTTATCAATCTAATATCTTCTTTGTACTTATGATAGGAGTCATCAGCTACATCACCGTTACTTCTATCTCTTATTTTTTCTGCAAATCATTTCATTAATAACAATAAGTAATCTATATACAACTTATATAACTAGAAAATTCAATTCGGTTTATATATAAAATAACTTATAGCGAGTTGCACTAAGTTGAATTAAAAATATTCATAAGTTATTAACATCGAAATAGCTTAATTATTAAATAAATTTAAGATATTAAATTGTCTTTATTGGAAGCTATAGTTTAAGATCTAGGTTGTAGACTACTATTTGAAGGGTTGTTTGCCGTGCAGATCCGTTAAACAAGAAAAAGTTAACTCTATAATTTCTTTCAGATTAATTGGGTATGTATCTGTTCCGGTGTGGGCCTCACCTCGGCAGGCCCAATACCAAATACGGCCCAACAGGCGAACTGAGCAGGCCTGGCACACGCCCCTTCGGACGAGCAGGACCGTCCGCCGGGCACAAGCCATCACGCCGCATCCCCTTCGTCGTCCGTCACACCAGACGAGCGAGACTACCCGGGCTCCCTCCGCGGGAGAATAACGTGCTCGGCGCACGTTCTCCACGTGCTCCCCTCCGCGGGGACACGTCATCGGCCAACCGCCCACCTCCGAAAGAGCAGGTCAAACCCACTTTCCGGAGACCTAGGAGCGGTTGAACTAGGGCGAAGACCACGTCCCGGTCTTCACTACGCCACGTAAGCCCTAGCAGTCATTAGGGTTGGGCCTGGTCGTCTGGCCCACCTCGAATGACCGTTGGCCCAGCGCTGGGGTCTCTCTATAAATACCCTCTTCTCCAAGAGGGTCAGGTAACTCTTCTTGCCCCCTTTTCTGTACTATTGCTTCCTCTCTGTCCAACTTCTTACTTGGGCGTCGGAGTGCTTTGCAGGTACACCCCCTCCTCGTTCTTACCTCGGCAAACAGATAACCGTCCGGCGAAGCGTGGCCAGTCCGTGATCCCTCCTGATCAGGTCAGATCAGCGGCGCCGTCTGTGGGAACGGAAACTTCCCCGTTACTCCGAGCAGAAAAACCAAAAGTTTCACCAAACCTCCACGGTTATGGCCAGCCCACGCCGCGACGACACTCCGCTCGATCTCGCGCTCAACACTGCCACCAACGGGAAGCAGGTAGGAACGGCGCGCCTGAATGAAGCCGACGAAAGAGACGGGCAAACCGCCTCACCATCGTCCGAGGAAAGGCCCCTGCATGCCGACCATCGCCCCCCGAGCCCGCCGGCATTCCACCCTGTTCCCATCCCGGCGGGAGCGGACCCCACGGTAGCCGCCCTCTTTGCAGCCATCAACCAGACGAACCAGCTGCTGTCCCAACAGAACGCTAGAATTGGAGCGTTGGAACGCGGCGGCTCCCCGAGGTACCCCCAGCGGGAAGACCAGAACGGAGGTTCGAGGAGCCCCTCACCTCGGCCCAGGAACCGCCGACCGCGGGTGGAGAGACGCCGCCCCCAAGCGACACGGGAACGCACCAGATCCCCGGCAAGACACGGTCGCGGGAGGAACCAGAACGCCGCGGCGACCCCAACCGAGGAAACCCGAGGCGGGAGCACAGGCCGGAGATCGAGGGCCCGAAACCCGGGACACACCGCGATCGGCTCATCCCCCCTGAGATCCCCGGCGCACAGCGACGAGGATGACTACCGCACCCCACTATCCCGGGAGATCATGGCGGCCCCTATACCCCAAGGAATGGAGAAGCCACCGACGCTGTCAACGTACGACGGCACCTCCGACCCGGACGATCATCTGGAAGACATCGAGGCCATGCTCGACTACCGCAATGTCCGGGGAGCCATCAAATGCAGACTCTTCCCGACGACTCTGAGAAAAGGCGCTATGACCTGGTACAAAAGCCTGGAGCCCGAATCCGTTACATCGTGGAGGGTCTTGAAGGACCTATTCTCCAAACACTTCACGGCGTCCCGGCGTCACCCGAAGACGGAAGCAGTCCTCGGGGCGATCATCCAAGGCCCCGACGAACCCCTCCGGAAATACATCGAAAGATTTACTCGGGAAGCCGTACAGGTGACGACTTCCGACGAAATGAAACGCTACTTAATGGAGCAAGGCCTGCGCCATGACTCCAAATTCTACGAGGCCGTGGGCATACACCGGCCCACGTCCCTCCAAGACTTCCTCGACAGGGCCGCCCACTACATCCGGTTCGAGGAAACACAAGCGGCCAACTCCGCCCGCGACACCCGAGACAGAGAAGCCCCCCGCGGGCACCGAGACGACGGAGCTTCGAGCCACCGGCGAGGAGGAGACCGCCGTCGGGATGACCGCCACCGCGAACCCCGCGAACAGCGCGAGCCGCGCGGCCCGGCAGGAAGGTTCACCGAGTACACCGCCTTGGTCGCTTCCCGCGAACGCATACTGGCCGAATGCGCTAAAACCGAGTTCGTGCAGGGAGGTGTCCGTTTTCCACGACCAACGCCGCCCAAACCCAACGTGGACAAGTCAAAGTACTGCCGGTTCCACAGGACCCACGGGCATGTAACGGAAGACTGCATCCATCTCAAAGATGCGATCGAAATCCTAATCAAAGATGGGCACTTAAAGCGATACACCCGGGGAGGTGAACCACCCAGATCGGAGGCCCCGGAGGCAAAGAAAATCGAGGAGCTCCCCTGCCCAGAAGACGGTGAGAGACTCCAGGTCGCGCTATGCGTCAGCCGCCCCGAGGACTGGTTCGCAAGCAGAGGACTCGGCATCCCCGAAGCACCCAGCTTAATCGGCGAGCCAATCCGACCAACCAGCCGATGGGAATACTTCCCCAGAGCCATGGTCATCTCTGATGGCGCTACGAGGAGTCTGTCCATAGGATCTGTGAAAAGGAAATTCGACGAACTCATCGCGGGCAACTCCGGCAAGATGAGCACACTCGACAGATTCCGAGGCCGCTCCAACCCGATCACGTTCTACCTCGAGGAACTACCCGGGGGATCTCCCAATTCCAACATTCCCTTGCTCATACGCGCACGTATGGCAAACTTCGACGTCAGGCGCCTCCTCGTCGATGGAGGGAGCTCGGTTGACATAATGTACTCACATTTGTTCACGACTCTCCAGCTCAACGAGTCCAACCTCTCCCCCTACGTAGGCTCCGACCTCCAGGGGTTCAACGGGACGACGACAAGACCCTGGGGATACGTGGAACTGAAAGTCACCTTTGGGGAAGAGGAAACGGCCAGAGACATCAGCATCCGCTTCTTAGTCATCGAATGCCCGTCCCTGTACAACTGCATCCTGGGCAGGACAACGATAGCAGAACTCACCGCGGTACCCTCCACCGCCCACCTGAAGATGAAATATTACACGAGAAGGGGAGCCGTGGTCACCCTCAACGGCGACATCGAAGCTGCCCGAAGGTGTTTTGAAGCCGCGCTGAAAGGCTTCGACTCCATCGCTCCACCGACCAAAAAGAAAGCACCGAGCGCTACGCCAAAGGACAAGCCAACAGAGCTAGTCGGATCAGTTGAGCTCGACAGTCGCTTCACCGACGAGCTCGACAATAGAAAGACTGACGCGGCCAACGAGCATCCAGCGCGCCCCATCCCGGATGGCGATTTCGAGCTCATTCCCCTCGGGGACGACACGACCAGAACCGTAAGGGTAGGCGCGGGACTCCCCGACCTCGCGAAACGACAGCTCCAAGCCTGCCTCCGCGAGAATGCCGACCTCTTCGCCTGGAGCGCCGCGGAAATGCCGGGACTCGACCCTGAGGTCGCCTGCCACCAGCTGTCCATCAACCCGACCGCAAAGGCCGTGGTGCAACGCCGTCGCCGCCAGTCTCCAGAAAAATCGGCAGCAGCCGAACAAGCTGTAAAAGACCTCTTAGAGGCAAATTTTATTTCGGAAGCCCGGTATTCCACCTGGCTGTCCAACGTTGTACTTGTTAAAAAGAATAATGGAAAATGGCGCATGTGTGTTGACTACACTGACCTCAACCGGGCATGTCCTAAGGACGCCTACCCCCTCCCCAACATCGACAAGCTCGTCGACAACTCGGCGGGCTTCAAACTCTTGTCCTTCATGGACGCATACTCGGGATACAATCAGATCCCGATGGCCGAACACGACAAACAGGCCACGGCCTTCATGACAGCATCGGGCAATTACTATTACAACGTAATGCCTTTCGGCCTCAAAAACGCCGGGGCCACGTACCAACGGATGATGAACCGCGTCTTCCACGAGGAGATCGGGGACATGCTCGAAGTCTATATGGACGACATGATCGTCAAATCCGGCGCGGAAGACGACCATGCGGCACATCTCCAGAAGGTCTTCAAGACCGCGAGATCATGTCGCATGCGCTTTAACCCGGAGAAATGCACTTTCGGCGTCTGCGCCGGTAAATTCCTCGGCTACTACTTGACCGAACGGGGGATCGAAGCCAACCCGGACAAGTGCCACGCCTTCTCCAATATAACCACGCCGACCACGAAGCGTGCCATCCAGTCCCTCAACGGCGTACTAGCCTCCCTCTCACGATTCATCGCGAGATCGGCCCAACACGCCCTCCCGTTCTTCAAACTGCTCAGGAAGGAGACCAAGTTCGAATGGACGGACGAATGTGAGAGAGCCCTTCGCCACCTCAAACGCGTCCTCTCCGAACCGCCAGTACTGACGCGCCCCGCGACGGGCGAAACCCTGTACTTATATCTGGCCGTCTCTAACGAAGCCGTCAGCGCCGTCCTCGTGAGCGAAGCCGGGGAAGGACAAAAGCCCATTTATTTTACTAGTAAAGCCCTCCACGGCCCGGAGGCCCGATACCAGCTGATCGAGAAAGTCGCCCTGGCCCTCGTTACAGCGGCACGCCGACTCCGGCATTATTTTCTAGCACACACCATCGTGCTCCGCACCGACCAACCCCTCCGCCAGCTACTCGGCCGCCCAGACATGGCTGGGCGCATGCTGAAATGGTCGCTAGAGCTCTCCGAGTTCGACATCACATACGAGAGCCGGCACGCCATCAAGGCTCAAGCGTTGGCTGACTTCGTAGCCGAGATGACCGCGCCCC